TATCTATCTATCTATCTATCTATCTATCTATCTATCTATCTATCTATATTGCTCTCCTAATAGTATACACACACACACACACACACACACACACACACACACATATATATATTTACATTCTGACTGCATTTTCCCTCCCTCCTCTCACTCCTCACCTCTCACTCTGTTCCCACCCCCCAATTTACTCCTCTTCTATTTTTGTTTATGAAAGGGCAGGTTGCCCACGAATATCAACATAACATGGTATACCAAGTTGCAGTAAGACTAAGTACCTCTTCCTATATTAAGGCTTGGCAAGGTGACCTAGTGTGAGGAGTGGGAACTGTATTAAAGGATTACAGCATGAAGAAGGTTGAGAAACACTTGTCTAATTGAGATATGATTGGTCCAAATCCCAAGTCTCAGTCTCTTAGAAAGATGGCCCTATTCAACTTAATGGATTTTGTGTAGGATAAGACTTGTTTGATCTTATAGAAAGGATCTTTTCCTGGATGCAGAGGTGCACAGACACTATGCCTCAATGTCTAGAGTCATTTGAGTTCCTGTAGGGAGTACATCTGACAGCAAAAGTGCTACAGGATGAAGGGATGCGAACACAGAAGCAACTGGTTCCTGCAGACTGGATTAGTCACTCTGAGAAGCTCTTCACCTCCCACAACAGCACATACATTTACCGTGGTTAAAATACTTATATCAGCACTATATAGTGGCACAAAGATATAAGCAAATTCAGCCTGGAAAGCAGAGTGAGGCCTTGTCTCAAAAATACTTTCTGCAGATTTTCATTCTCCAGTAACAATGGCCAAAAAGAGTTAGTCAAGTGTATATTATATAGTCCTAAGGCTATTGTACCAGACAAGCACAGCTAAAACGGATGCATTAAAAACATTGCTGAAAATATGCCAGAGACATTCAATAATCTAAAATTAGCTTACTATTTTCATTATCCTTTTTCTTTTGATGCTGGGGACAGAACCCACTTTGGTCTTGCTAAATAAGCATTTTACCACCGAACTAAACCCCAACTCTCACTGCCCTTTCTTAAGAGCTTTTAGAAAAATTTTATTTCTTTTTATAGACTTAGCTAACAGTCTTCTTTGGAATAACTACAAACAATTGATGATCTTAACAAGGTCTGTATTAACAAAAGAATAGAGAGCACGTCAGAATGTGTCTCAGATAAAGAGTCAAAAGTTGAAAGCTCTTTTGACTTCTCTTTGCAAGAAACTGTTCACTTGAGGAGACAAATCTTAAAGCTACAATGCTACTGACGTACAGTCAGGGAAAAAAATCAATTGAGGCTTTAATTGCATCCCACTTGGTACATTTGTTTGCATCATTGCCCTGGGGGGTGGAAAGAAGAAGCTGACTTCAGGAGTTTTATAGAAATTGCTTAATAATTAATTCACCTTCTCAAGGATAGTCAGGGACTCAGTGGATGAGACAGACTTTGGCAAAAAATAGCAACTGAATTACATATTGCTGTTTTGTATAATGTTGACTAAATCTCTTGGCTCATCTTATGGTTTCTCTGTAGAATAGCATTAGTAGTCCTGATGGGCACTTCTGTCTTACATTTTGGTTCTCTTAGTATATGGAAAATGTCTATAAAGTGGAATGCACTCCTCTTTTCAGGCTTAGCCATACCAGCTCATTATTTAGCTGATAAAAGTCTTTGAGGATAAATTAATGTCTACAAAGATGTTGAAGACAGTGTAGGTACCTTGTTATATTTTACTTTTCATGCATTATGGATTAAATTATATAAACTAATGATTTTATTATGGTCAAAGTGTACTCAAAGGTCAGTGTAGGTTATGGTACAAGAAAGCAGAATACCAGAGTTGGAATGTTTCTGATTTAGATATTCCTACAAATCTTAGATTTGTATTTTTGGCAAGGCTGCTTAGGTAGTAAGGTATGATATGGATAAAAAATTATAAATATCAGAATAAAAATAAATTTTTTGCTTTTAAATTTGGAAGTTTCAATATATATAAAATGCCTCGAATAGCTCTGGTAATATAATAAGTTTCTAGTAAAGTATTGACATTTAATATTACATTGAATGTATTAGTATGGATATAGTATGCCTATTTTCGTTTGGGTAGGAGAACAATACCTATTGGAAAGCTGATATGCACAGATATATACGTACAAACCCTAGAGGGGGTATACGTTGTCTCTGTAGTTCACAGTGGCCAAAAATAAAAAAAAAACAACAACATAGGATCAGCTACAACTGTTGATTATTATTGAGCTAAAGCAAAAAATTTATTGAGCAGAAATCTCAAACTTGGGTAAGAGACCTAGGAACATTTTCCTATAGGTCTTCATGCATACTTTAACTATTTTTAATACTGGGATACTGTATATATGCTTCTTGGAGCACTTTACAAAATCTCTGGGAAAGTTTAGACATATTTAATAACCCTTAAAGGTTTGAAGCAATGTAATTTATGATTATAAATCTAGGCCATACTCTGTAATTTCAAACTCTTTGGCCTGAAAATGTTTTCAAACAAAATTATGCCATTTGTTATATGACCGTTCAAATAGTTTACCAAAGATAACCATATGATATTAGTTTAATAGTAATAGAATCACCAATCTTCCCTAGTGGATTCATTATAAACATTATGCTCTGATTACCTAGACTATAGAAATACTTGACTCTAGTGCTCTGTTCATTTTTAATAGCTAAATTATTTTTCAAAGATCAAAGTAACCATTTTATTTTTAAACCTAAAATATGAAGCAAATGAATATTTGCTTTATAGTTACTTGAAAGAAGTCATGATGACTTCAGGCATTTCTATCTCTGGTTTTCTTATTTGTCCCATGACAAGGTAAAAGATAACTCACGAGTATAAGAGCTCCAGGAGAAAGAGATGTGTCGTGTTTTCCATTTTTTAAAATTGTTGTATCTCCTAAGAATGGACCTGTGTGTAGCACTCTGGAGGTAATAAGGCAGTGTGCCTGTAATAGGAAGATTATCAACGTCCACTTCACAGTTAGTGATACAGATAGAAGCTTCCAATTTTTTCTTTCTTTTTCTTTCTCTCTCTCTCTCTCTCTCTCTCTCTCTCTCTCTCTCTCTCTCTCTCTTTCTTGATACAGGCTTTCTCTGTAGCTTTGGAGCCTGTCCTGGAAACCATACATTTTAGATGTGCATTCCCTAGAGAAAACTTTTCACATTAACTTGGTTTGATTCACACTATTTCTGAATTGTTACTGAATTATTTCCTAAATAGAACTAATCTCTGCTTGGCTAGATCTTGGTTGGGAGCAGAGGATGCATGAATTGGGCAAGGTTATTAAATTTAAGAAAAGGATTTGACTCTTTAAAAAGTGTGGACAGGGCTGGAAAGAAGATTCAGCTGTTAAAGTCTTGACTCACAACCAAAAAAGACTAAGTAGGCCATGCAATCTACACAAGAAGGTCATGGAGCTAGTGAGGTCAAAAGGCAGTCTCCACTCTCAGAATGAAGAATCCAGGCTCCAGAAAGGTGACTAGATCCCAGAGAGGAAACTGTGAAAAGCCTTCTGAATAGCTTGAGGAGATGAGCCAAGTGCCAGGAAGGTAAGCCTCTGACAAGACTGTTCCATCAGAGATGCTTTGGCAGGCCTAACAGGGAAGGGTCACGGGGAGGGCACTTCCTAGGAATCTGTATGTCCACAGAGAAGCTTGACGGGAGATGTAATGTGAGGAGTGAGTCAGGGAGGAAAACAGACTTTTTTCAGTTCCTGTAGTGATACCTCTAGGTCTTCAGAAAAGATATAATAACAGGGCACACATGCAAAGGGCATCTCTTCAATTTTCCTCTTTCCTGGGAACCAGAATAGCCCTGTTCTGGGAAAACAGGGCTGGGTATAAGAGTAAATAAAACACACAGGAATAAGAAAAAAAATATCTGAGAAATTGAGAAATCTTAAGGAAGGCATCATTTTTTTTTCTTAATCCATTTAGGTTTCCAAGAGACCAGAATGACTGAGA